TACTGTGTCCGATTTAAGCTCAAGTTCGATGAGTTACGCGTAGTAAATCGTAGGTATTATAAGGCTAGTAAATGACGACTTTCCCTTGTTTATTGTTGTCACACTCCTTCCCTTTATCTACTCCTGATACCGTCAATACGTTACATTTTCGCCATGTGGCGTCTGCCTCCAAGACCTTGTCTACAAGTGTCACGTCATCAAATCGTTTAGCTTGATTCTCCCTTATCTTGGCTGGGTCTCCTCCTTTCTCGCAACGAAATAACTCGATGTCCAGCACCATACTTGTTTAATAAAGTATAAATTTATTATTTAACTTCTGATACACCGGCAAATCTGCAAGAAATTGCATCAGATCGATAGTCGCTCCACCTGGTGTGTGACTTGTTTTGTATGCCGATTGTTTGTGACGACGCCTGGCATTGTGGGAGAATAATGTTTTAAATGTTGTAATTTAGCAGTTTTATACTATTTTTAATGTTATATACATCTTTTACGGCAATAATTGATCTTTGTAATAATATCCAGCTACATATCACGTGAACTATAACGATAAATATGTATTAAGTGTGGTTATCTGTTTGTGTATAAACTTATAGGAAGTTGTAGTCTGCTACCGGAAACCAGACGTGGCACTGGAAAAATGGCAGCTCCCAATAGCATGTGGTCTTGTCTGTTGCGGCTTGTTAGTTACGGGTTTCTCTTGATTCTGGTAAGCAAATATAATGATACGTATATGGTGTAAAAGCCGGTTAATTACTACTTTATTTCATTACTGAGGTGATTATTTACTTATCCTCGTAGCTTTGGATTATAAGTCTAATCATCTCCGATCCGAGATCGTCGTTCACAAAATTGAAAATATTGACAACGTGTGCATGTACTCAGTAATGTGATGTAGGCTTTACGTGTAAAGTCCACTATGTTGACTACTTAGTAGTTAGCTGTGCGTTCAGGAATAAAACAAGTTGCAATTCTACTTCACTCTTAAATCTAAATTTACACATGTCATTTACTGATTTAGTTACACCTGAACTCGAAATTGATATGCACATTTATAAATCATCAACTGATACTGATAGTGATATACCCATACTGTACCAAATACGTGGTTACTGCTAAAAGGTGTACATGTATGCATTCCATTAGATAGATAATTTACTTGTACTTTCAGATTCTGGCACCAACACAGGCAGGTAGGAGGGGCAATGTCGAAGAATTAAGTGATATCAAGGAGTTCAAAAAACTTATCCGAGTGAAAACGAACGTTTTAATCTTATTCACACCTTCTCGTGAGTATACTATACGTATTACCAGTTTTGCATTTTCATATTTTATTATGTTATGCATATTTGTATTATGGTTGTTTATGTATTAAATGCAGCCATTGTTTTGATGCTAGTTAGGTTAATTTATAATAATATTGTGTTATGTACATTATGTTATGTTATGTATCGTCAAAGGTTAAACCGACCAGGCTCTCCGACTGTTACACGGCGGAGGAGCCTGACACCCTTCCATACGAAATGCCTGGTAGCTTGAAAACAAACTCCGAATTTCGTAAAATTTCGTAAATAAAACAATGTATTACCACATTTGACCTCACCTGTTACATGTTGCAACTATCGCTACACTTCTTAATTACTATTTACTTCGAAATACACGTTAAAATAAGAGAATTTTGAACAGCTATATACTATTTGAACGTTGTAAAACGCCATTCTAGATGTTCTTATGTCTCTTCCTGTACGCGAAAATTCACGAACTTTCGCTACGTATTATGGGAAAATGGCGGCGTTTTTTTGAGTTTTATCTTATCAATTTATAAACAATTACTCGCTGACACGTAAGTACATGCTCAGTGATAGCGCACATATAATAAATCGAGGCGTGGAAGTACAGAGAAGCTGTAAGAATCATAAAAAGTTAGATAATTTAACGTTAAATAGCAGCGCACGTACTGCCAAACAAAATTCTAATGCGTCGGTTTGTGACCCTCTCGCCACGTAGTGTTAAGCGAGATGGGAACTTGTGGTTAGTCAAAGGTATACTTTAATGTTTTCAGTCAGAAGAGAAGATGCTAAATTTTTGAAAGATTTTGACGAGGTGGCAGAAACTGTCAGGGGTCTCGGAACGCTAGTGACAGTAGATTGTAGGTAAGTTCTGGTAAGATTCCTTAGCTAGGAATTCGCAGTCTAGTATTAATTCTAGTTATATGTACATTCGTAGTCATGTTTAATGGTGCCCAAATCCTCCATTTAATTCAATGCAGGTTGATTTGGTTTTAGGTTTGATCATTTTGATATTTGATATGAAATGGGTTTCGAATTTTATTTATTATATGATCGTATGCATCTATCTGAACATATATTGAGATGTTTAAATATGTGTATTGAATATTGCAGTGAGGCCAAGAAGCTGTGTAAATATGTCAAAGTGTTGTCTGCTAGCTCCGTTATCAAACATTACAAGTAAGTTACGTGTATACACAGTTTTTACCTTGGAAAGACACAGATAGTGATACCTTCTAATTCAAACTCTTGTTGAACAATCAAATTCTGCTCGACTACGTGGCATTACACAGGATTGTTGTGTTTTGCACTATGATACGTTTTTATTGATCATGATAATAATGTGTAGAGATTAAATTGCAAACGTGCGATTATCATTCGTGCATTGATTTAAAGTCGTTTCATATTTCGAACAGAGATGGAGAGTTCAATAAGGACTATGACAGAGCACTTACTTACAAGGTACAGCACGTTAAAATACATTTGTAACATTACCTCACGGTGCATATTTCAGTTCATTAGCTCAAATAGTTACAATCAAAATATGCCACTACAGTGTTTTCTGCCAGCCAGCCATGGCTGACACCACCTTCATTATTGCTGTCATATGTGACTCAGACTTGCTAAGCATGGCTGCTATATATATATATATATATATATATACATATCTGTAGATATATCTGTCACCAGGTATGGGTTTCACTGGCCTGTGTCATAGTTGTCATCGGCTGTGGCTATCTCCATGTATAGGGCTAACAGTGAGTAAATGATTAGTTGTTGTTGCTGCATTTCAGTCGATGATGAACTTCATGAAAGATCCGACGGGAGAGATGCCGTGGGATGAGGACGAAACTGCGCAGAGCGTTCTCCACATAGAAGATGCCACGGTGAGAGACAGGGGAGAGAGAAGGGTAGGGGGGAGGGGGGAGGGTGGGACCGTGGCAAGGGAGAGGGTGGGGCAGTAGAGCGGCGGAGAGAGAGAGAGAGAGATAGGGGTAGAGAGAGAGAGAGAGAGAGAGATATAGAGAGAGAGAGAGAGAGAGAGAGAGAGAGAGAGAGAGAGAGAGAGAGGAGGAGGAGGAGGAGGAG